CATGTTTAGCTTCACAACTCATATTAAAGGAAATATCTTGATTAATACTTATCAAATATATCTGAAATTTTCAAATAAGGTGCATTCATTTCATGTTTTTAATGTTTAATTTTAGACTAATAGTCTAAATGAAAAGTACAGTTTTCAGTAACGTGAGATGACATCTGGCGTTGTCACATCTTCTCATCGTCGATGCATGGAAGGGATGAATCGAGGTATTGTCTATTGAGGGACTAACTGAGCAAGGAACAGGGGCTGGCGTGATCTGGCACGAATGGCACGAGCTAAAACGTCCCGCAAGTGCTCAATCGGATTGAAATTTGGTGAATGCGCGGGTCGTGAGTGCAGGAGAGGAATGTTGTTAGTTTTGAGAAATTGATTTGTCACAGCCGCCTTATGAGTAGATGTATTATCATGCATGGATAGGCCTACTTGTGCTTGGGTATGATTTAGAAAGAAAAGTACACTGGGCTCGAAAACTTGGTGGAATGAATCAGAGAGAAATAACATTATTGAAATGCTTCAGCTTTTACCAATCACGAGAAGGTTCAACGTGAGAAGACTCAAGGTGTATTTGACACGAGATTGCTAGGCTACAAAAGGCATCCGAAAGCGAGTAGGACGCAGAAAAACAAACCGAATGGAAGACGCATTCATCCAAATGCAACGCTTGAGAAATCAGTTTTAAAAGGCAACGCAGATCCAAGATGAGTCGAACAAAGTTAGAAATAGCAATCCGATCTCTGTTTTGACTGTTTTTCGTCGTATGAAAGAGTGGAGTTTTCGATCTACGTGCCTAGCTTGTCTCATAAAACTGCAACCCTATCAAGTCCAGCACAGACTTCACTACGTACAGCATCACGAGAGAAGGCCACGTCCTATATGGAATGTGTACATGTTTTCAGATGAGTCCCAATTTCAAAGGTTATGGCACGATGGATGGGCCAGGGTGTACAGAAGACTCAACCGAGGATACACGCCAGCTGACTTCAGTCAAGCAAATAATTTCGATGGTTGTTGTTTTGTAGGCTTGTACCATCGATGCTGGTACGACCATGTTCGTGGGAACATTGCAGCTCAAGATACATCAACGAAGCTCTCGAACCCAACGTTGCACCTTTCTTTCAAAATCAATCTCAAGGACAATGATAATGTACCTGCTCATGAAGATGCTGTGACAAATCAATATCTCAGAGCTAACAACATTCCTCCCCTGCACCCATGAGCAGCGCATTCACCAAACCGCAATCCAATTGAGAGCTTGACGAACATTTTGGATTGCTCCTTTCGGATCAGACTACGTCAGCTCCGGACTCTTGCGTAGAACAATTAATTAACTAGAGTGGAATGATATCCCTCAACAGTCCATAACTCGAATCAAGTCCATGTGTCGAGGATATGAGTATGTGAACAAGGCCATGTGTCATTAAACTCGTTACAGGAGATGTCACTTTGCACTTAGACCAATGACAACTGTAAATTCAAAATTGAAGATTTTTCAATCTTTTGTTGAAATATTCTGTCCCACTTTTGCTTCAGTGTGACCCCAATTACCGCAGAGTCGCAAAACGACCTCTCGCCACACTTTGCTTTTCAGGTCATCCAAGATGTGCCGTTATATACGAACATTGGCCAGTCCATGATATTCATATTATGACCTTCGAGAAACTGTTTTGTTTGTTCCATGGCCAGTGTGAGGGCAGGAGTTGTCGTGTTGGAAGACAGCTGAGGCTCTCACTTGTTTTCCCTGCTTTTCTTTTTGCACGGTAAAGACAACGCTGTTGTCGCGGATTCATTAATAGCAGTCCTATATCAGGCGTTCTTCATCTAAATCTTGAACGTTCAAAGCAGTGTCCAACACTGATGGAAGATATTTCTACACACTCCACGCCTGCCTTGAGCTGTTACGTGTGCATGAAAGAAACAATTCAGCTGATGTGACTGCAAAATGTGTCTGTTTTGGGCGGGGCTGGTGACTCGAGGTTGTCCTTTTCAGTGTTTGTCCCCGATATTTCAAGTGTGCTAAAATCTTTGGGGCGGTCGAGAAACAATACAAGCACTGCACTTACGC